AGAGGCTGGTGGGAGGATGGAGGGGGAACAAAGGGAATCTGAGGCAAGGAGGTGAACTGGGAACGTGACAATATGAAGAATTCCACAGAAATCTTCTCATATTTCATTATTTATTCTCTACTACCTTGTTTGGAAGTATTGTTTCTCAAAAGAAATGTGAAAAAGTGTTTGAAGGAGGAATGGGAGCCTCAGGTAAGTAAAGGGATTAATCACATCAGTTCCTCCTTGGCTTGTAGACGAGGTCAGGGGAATAGTACTTGGAATGTGTGGTAATTCACAACTTGAGCTTGCCCATCAATTAAATGTCTGATTCCTGTGTTTCTGTGACATACAGAAATACAATATTTCATATCAAATTCAAGGCACTGGTGATACTTGTTCCAGATGAGAGGTGGTGTGTGGACTTGCAGAGGACCTGCAACAGCCCAGTACCAGCAGCCCTGCAAGTGCCTGGTTGGGTTTGTGCAAGTTCTTGGCTTGGTGCTTCCTTGGGATGAACTTGCATGGACTGGGGAAGGGGAGCCCAGAAGCCACAGCCATAATAACCTCAAAGGAGCACATGATGACTGAAGACTGAAAAGAAAAAACATGGAAATCCACAAAATTCAGGTTGGGCTGCTGCTAAGGAAAGTCTCTATATCTTAGCAGCTTTCAGCATCCAGCACTTGTTTGACTTGGCAGACCAACATTCTCATCTCATGTATACTCAGAGCTGCTCACAGACAGCCTACGTGTGTGTGCTGAGAAGATTTCTAGTCTGTTTTCTGAAAGAAATGAGGTGTTTGCAAATCAGCCTAGATTTTTCTCCCCATGCCTGTCCCTGACCATCCTCTAATGAAGTGTGACAGCATGGATTTCCATCAGCCAAATTTCACTGGACTACAGGACTACTTGGCTATACTGCAAGGAAAACCTGCAAGCCCTGAAGGCACAGCTAGCTTGGTTAGGAGAATAACTCTGCAGATAGCTCAACTCTCTCAGCTCTGCAGATATTTCTGCAGATCCCACACACAAAGATGCTCCAACTGTCACTCTCCAGCCACCTATCTTTGTTGTTGATCCCTATATCTGGGCAACTGGTGTGTCATCAGCAGTGTAAGAGGGATTTCTGTGTTACCTAAAGTAATGAGAATGGTTGCTACTGGTTTTAAACATAAGCCAGATCCATGCAGAGCCAGCACAGGTGTCTCCACCCTGCATCACCCAGTACACCCATGTCCAGGGTGATGACAATGGCTCTTCTCAGAGTCATTCTCAGTCCAAGATATCTCACCAAGTGGGAGAAATAGCATACAAAGGCAGCTTCAGTGGCTTCAGACTTGCTTAGCTGTGTGCCCTTCGAGCAGTTGGTAGATACTGCAGGACTGACTGCATGCATATGATAAGCTAAGCGCTTGTATTTATAAGGCATGAGGGCTCATTTTATTGCACAATATACTGAAGTGTTTACTGTCTATTTCTCCCTATTGATCTAGAATCACTGTGGGTTTTTTCTTGGGATTTTAAGTCTCTCATTCAGTCAAGGCAAAAAAAAATATATCTTTTCTGTGCAAAAAGACATTAAATTGCCAGTAAGGTTGCTCATGCTAGAGTCTCCAAGAAATGCCTGTGTGTGCTCCGAGTCAGCACTCACAAGGCTGGTAAAGAAGCAATGACAGCATGTAGCTGTGCTGCACTTTCTGTGGGTGATGGTGAACTCCAGCTTCTCACCTGAATTGTCACCTGTCTGATCTGAGACCCATGAGCTATAGGGAAAACTTACCAACCTGTACAGAAATTTTTGGAAGAAGAGTTAGTTAAGTATCTGTCCATGCGTGGTCTGAATTGCTGAACTCTTACGTGCTGGGAATCTCCCCTCCAGGAAAATTACAGGATTTAACCAAAAAGGTGAAAGATGTGTTTTGATTTTAAAGAGGACAAGAGGGAAATGCAAATAGGAGGACTCTTTCAGAAAAGCATCGGATATATGATGGTGCTCTTCAAGCCCTGTCTTGCATCTTAAATGTAGCTTGCAAAGTTGACAAAATCCACAGACAGCCACACTGGGAGTGCTGAATCATTACATTTTACACAGTCCTTCACACTATGAAATCTGGATGGTTCCCAAGAGTGAGCAATCTGAAAATAAAAATGTGTCTGATCAATAAAATGAAATGGCTTGAAGAAATCTGAGTTTAGTGCTCTTCAAGTCCTAACTGCCTTTGCAAATATCAGAGGTGACCTTGCCCTTCACAGCTTAGTTATTATAGCAGTGTACAGGGTTATTGCAAGATAACAACAGCGCAGTGATGATCCTGGTGCTCCTGACAGTCCAAAAGACACCTACCACAGGACAAGTCAGCAGTGAGAAGGGCTGGCAAGGGCGGCAAAATGTCCCAGTAGCACCTGATATGCTGAGGTTTTCATGCCCTGCTTGGGTTAGGAGGCCATAACATTGAGTGATTCCTCATCAGACACTGGCTAATAACTATTTGTCACCCTACGGGCCAGCTGCTTATTTTTTTTCAGTGACATGAGATCTAGACATACAAATTGCTAACATGGGTGAGCTAATAAAAAGGCAAGTATAAGTATTCAAACAGCATGGGCTATTTAAATAGAGAAGTTAAACAAAATCCATCCCAACTGGCTTTTAACTCTCAGCCCATGATCTAAAAATCAATTGATTTTATGTCCAGAATGCTAAAAGCACCAGAGGAAATGCTCCTGTCTTCTCAGCAGCATCTGTGGACAGAATAAACTTCAAGGGTTTACAGTGGTTAGGGAACAGAGAGATCCCAGCAGAGGACAGGCATCTGCTTCTACAGGTGCTCGTCCCCTCTAGTATAGAGACTTTCAGAGGAAATGTGGAGTGAAAGGAATTGTGAGCCCTCACAGAGGGAACTGGAAACACATCAGGCTTTAATACACTACTTGTGCTCAGAAAGAATCTGGTCTGAGTGGGATTTCCAGCAATGCCCAGAAGTATCTCCAAAGATGTTTTGAACCAATCTGCCACAAGATGAGCACTTCATGTTGGTGGAGCAAACAATGACAATTCAGGAGAGAACAGTTTTGCTGTTTGCACTCCCCACTGCTGCAGGAAAAGCAGTCGGGATGTTGAGTGCCGATGATCCATCCCAGGGCTGCAGGCAGCCTCATAACCTGGGGGACCTGAATAATCATTGGTTTTTCTATCCGTATGAACTCTGTGTTTGAGGTACTGCTCTGACTAGCCACAGCAGGTGTTGCTTTGCAGCGAGGGTGGGTGTGATGGGGTATCTGCCAACATCCATCCCAACACAGCCACTGGACCCTGACATGGACCAATCCTGGGGTTTCTAGAGCTGGAAGCAGAAACCAAGAGCTAGATGGACCCCTACAATTGTTGAATGTAGGGGCACCTAGTACAACTTCCTAAAAGACATGCAAAGATTGGAGATTTCATTGCCACAGGCAGGTCTCCCCAGAGTCACTGCAAAGCTTCACTGACCTTGGGTCACATCTTACTCCCAGGGCTGTGAAACCAGAGCCTTCAATCAAGCAGGGCTCCACAACTTCTGCAGGAAGGTGATTGGTGACAGCCTCATGGCTTTTATTCAATTTGACAACACAGTGGCCACAGCTATGAGATTTGCTAAGCCATGGGAGCATGGGGTTGTCAGCAAAGTGTTGGAGATCTCTATTTGAAGTCTTCCCTCTCCCCCCAATATAATTCACATTTCTATATCTCTAAGAATAAATCCATACACCTCCAAGGGTGAAAATGGTAACTAGTGACAAACAGTGGTGGCTGGGGTGATATGCTCCTGCATAATCTTATGATGGCATGAGTGTCATTTTCTTGTAATGTACTTATTACTTTACCAGGATAAACATTAGAGAATACATCACATTTCTTTATGTTTTTCACTTCCTATTAAACTCCTGGCTGCTTCAGTGAGCCCTCTGTACACAGCTTGACTGCGGACTGGTGATCTGTAACTTTCTGCAGTATGATATTATCATTTCTCAAGTCCTGTTCAACTCCAGCTGTAACTTTTCATGGGCAAAGACGGATGCCATGAGCAAAACCCAGGCATAGGCAAAATTTATCTCAATTTATCCTGGACAGAAAAAGTAACTGAGGGTACCTCGCTGAAAGCAAAATATACTGCTTGAATGAATTTACAATAAGTAATAAAATACAGCAGGGAGACACCATTTACTGTAGGGGAAGAAGGTAATATATGATGTTGGCAATTCACTTTAAAACAATGCTATTAAGCAAGTATGAAGGTGATTATCACCTTTTTTAGGCATTAAAGTTCTATTTATAAGCCAGTTGGTGTATGACATCTACCAATATAAAAGACCGACTTTTAATTTCTTCCAGAAAAAGCTATACATGTTTTATGCCACTTCCAGGACTGGCAGCTCTTGCAGCAATAGAGGAGGACAAAGGCAGGCCTGTGGCTGTCGTGAAGGCAAAGTCCACTATCCTCAGGACCAGGTTATAAATGCTGAAAAGCCAAATGTCTTACCTAATCTATGGAGGAACTGCTGAGGCCAGACCAGGAATTAAACAGTTCTTCTGGCATTGGTCCCCAGCCCGACGCACAGACTCATCTTCATCCCAGCATTGCAGAAACTGAACAAGAAACACCAGCACAGACATCGCAAGCCAGTGCTGGCTAGCCAGCAGCATCATATTACAGCACCAGATTATTCTATCGTAGATTCAGAAGGGAATAATTTTACATAATGAGGCATCTGTAGATGTTTCATAGACATGGGCTCTTTGCAACTTTGGGCTGGTTTTGTAGGAGCCACTTGGGTTGACTTTTGGCTCCTCAACCCAAAATCCAGATCCCTCTCCGCTCTGTTTGCCCTGACTATCCCCAGTCCTGGAGATCCCCTGTGCTCCATATTTCTGCCACAGATTTCTGGCTTCTCTTTTTAAATATGTGCACTGGGAATTACCCAGAATATTCTTGCACAACACCAGTAACACTTCCTTGTCACTACAGCTAACACGTTACCCGCCGCAGCCAGATAAGACAGCTCTGAACCCCTGTGATTTTGCCAGCTCTTCTGATACCCAGTACTGTCTGTGGAGTTGCAGCTCCCGGAGGCAGGTGATTACAGGAGGATCTCAGTGTCTTCTTTGCTTCCCTGAAAGGCTCAGAATAAAGCCTGAATATGTGCACTCTGAAGACTTAAATCCTAGAATGAAACTAAACCTCATGATTTGTAAGTCAATATCATGATTTCAGGGCATTTGGGCTTGGCAAGCAGTCTCAGAGCAGAATCCCCCCCCTTCCCCCCCAAACAGGGAGATTTTCCAACAGAGGCTTGACCCTTCTGTCTCTGCACAAGCAAATGCTGATGCGTTTCAGTGACCTGGTGACTGCGGGATTACATTTTGCACTAACTGCCCTCTAAAGCAATGATCCCTTAGTGCAGGAAGGTTCAAGGCTGGCTGTGCTGGCACTGCAGGAAGAGCCTGTGGTCTCTGTCAGAAGGGATGCTCAGTGCAGTGCCAGAAAAGTAATTGGAAAGAAACCAGCAACTTCAATCCCTGTGGATCCTTCAGGTTGTTCTGGCTCCATGGTTTAACCTCCAGAAATATGCCTTGAGGAATGAAATCCCCTAAAGCATAGATGAGCTGGAGAGAGCGCTCATCCCACTTGCTGTTTATCATCCTATTGCTCCAATCCATATGCATGCATTTTAAATAGCTCTCTCAAACAATAGCCAGGCTAACTAGAGTTCATTTTGAATGGGGTTTTCCAAGCCACAGCTGAATCACAGCAGTGCAGCTAGCACATGAAAGGGACACACAGCACAAGTCTCCTGCTCCACCTTACCTTTAGCTCTTGTGATACTTGACATTAGAGAGGGCTGAGCAGCATGGCCTCTCTGACACAGTTCCATGCTCTGCTACAGTGTAGATCCACCCTAGCAACATCAAAATCAGCAATGTCACAAACAAAGGAACAAACAAACCCAGACTGTATCTCCAGGACATCGGTGGCCAGCGGGGATGCACTGTCCCTGCTCCGCAGGACATCCTGGCCTGTGGGCTGCACCTTGCCCAGTGCAGCTGCAGTGGGAGAAGATCGGCTGCGGAAGGCCTCAGGAGTGGGAAAGGAGAGCTTTATTCAAAGATCCCCTGAATCCCTTGATGAAATGACAACAGGCTCAACGATTCCTGCGTTTAAACCAGTAGCTCTTTTTCTGAACAAGTTGGACTCTGGCTGTACAGGGCAGAGAGGACCCTTAGTCCCCTCGCAAGGCGGTCCTGTTGATCACAGTTTCTTTAAATACATCATAAATATTGCTTTTACAGTTAAACTCCCCCCATCAAAGCAGAAGCATCCTTATTAGATTATTTAGAAAAACCCATAACTACCAGGGTTTAATTTATTAACAAGATATGCAATTTAAACACTCTCCTTGGAGATAATGAAATTGTGCTCACTCTGAGACTGAGAAAGAGAACATGAACACCGTGGAAACTGTCACTGACAAAAGCCATAATACTGCAGAGAGATAGTTTGCTCACCTGTTGAAAACACCCAGCACATTCTCTCTCTCTTAATGTGGAAACAGGACAAATATTACTCAGGCTGCATGTGGTGCTGGCAGGGAACAAAAGTCCAGTTTGTGTGTGTTGTAACGGCAGTTTCCTTCGGTTGCTGCACCAGCTGCACACACATCTGCAGCACTGACATCCCAAAGTGCCCCAAGAGATGCAGGATACATTTGCTGAAAACTCCATACCATGTTGAAGATAACTGCTCTCTCCAGGCACTTACCAGAAGTACGTTCACTTCTCCAGAGGCCTATTAGAAAAATGGTGAAAAAAGAAAGAAAGAGAACAGTTGCTTCTGCCTTTCCTTCCTGTATAAGGCTGTTCACTAGCAAAGATGCACACTGAGGTGCTGGGCCTTTTCTGTATAGCCCCAGGAACAGCAAGCACCCCATCTCTGCTCCCCATAAAGTGTTTCTTTTCCAACAAGTGAGAAACCTCAGGGGCTGCCTGAGGGATGGGGCCAGACTGCAGGAAATCCCTCTGTTCGGTGCCTGGGAACCCAGCTGAGCTTTGGACAGAGACTAATGCCAGCTGCCGTCAGCAGTGACCCTTTCCTGTCAGAAAAGTTGCTGCTAGTGGAGTAAGCACAGGGATGAATAAGGTATATTTACCTTTAGGGGCCCAACAGCAAGATGTCAAAGGATGCTGTGAGACAGACAGAGGTTTCAGAGGATGCTGGAGCGCCCCAACACTGACGCCAGGGCAGCCTCTCCTCGCAGGGCACAGTGGGATGTGCTGCCCCATAACACACCCCAACATTTAGAAAAGGCAGCATGAGACATGAGGAAAGTCTTATTTTCTGGTGACATAGATACTTCTGCCTCCTAGCTCAGGAACAGAAATGCTGCCCTGTAATTATTCCTGATCCAGAGCACTAGACAGTGGATACATGCAAACCAGGCTTCATGCCATTAGATACTTTAATGAGGAGGTCAGTGTATTTTGCATTGAGGGATTTGGGATTTGTACATTAACTGGAGTGGCATGTGTTAGAAGGACATGTGAATTAATGACACTATTTATAACTCATCTCATTATCAGACACAGCTTGATGCCTCAGACATCCACTAATTCTATTAACCAGTTTCTAATCCTGGAAATACAACTGCTTCGCTTCAGCTGTGATCTGTTAGAAGAATGCTGCTGTTGTTATTGTTTGTTTTTTAATGTAAAAAGCTCTTTTCAAAGAAAGGCTCCATGATTGCATGATGTAACTCCCCTGAGTCCAAGTCTCAGATACAAAAATATTCATGTTGAGTGTGATAAATGAACAATGAACAAATTACATGCTTGATTTCCCTGTTTTGCCTTACTTTTGATCTCTAATATTAGATTGCTATAATTGTTTTTCAGCTCCTTGTGTGCATATTACCAATGTTCGTGTTGCTATAGAAATGTAAAATCCAACATATTGTCCCTTAGGTTTTAAAAGAAGTGTGCCCCTCCTTTTATTTCTGCTTTATTCTTTGACACATAAAAAATCCCCCTGACAAATATTAAAGCCCCAGATGTGATTCCAACCATTTGCTTAAGAGACTGTAGCATGGCACTGGCTTTTCTGACTCCTTCAGCTGAAAGAGGAAACTGAGGCCTTGTCCTGCTTATATAGAAAATACATAAAAAGGCACTTTCTTGTTCTATATATCTATATGTATAAATTTATAAGGGTTTTAAGGACTTAGAAGCATAAGGAAGAGTTATAAGGAAACCAGACCCTTTTCCTAAACACAGACATCCAACAGCAAAATTAATTCTTTCTCCTGCCAAGAGACATGACTATTTGCAAGGTTGACTGCCTGGAGGGAACATCCCTGATCTGTCTTCAGTTTTCTCCTCTCACATTTGGACATGATGACTTTCTAGGCAAAGAATAGCAAGTGTCTGTGCACCTGCTATGGGCTAATTAATGCTCACCTACAAACCAGGGGGGATTTTTGCTCCCTTCGAGCTGGGACTGGCAGCATGTAGAGGACCATGGTGTTGGCACAGAAATACATCATGTCCCCATGTCTCCTCCAACCAGCTCCTCACAGCTGTGAAGAGAAGGAACTCACACTTGAGATAGAGGCACAATGTCTTCATCTGCCCCTAACTGATTGGGAAGAGAGAGAAGAGACCATGCTGTGGTGGAGAAAGAGCAGGGCTGAGTCTGGAGAAAGCTTCTGCTTGGCAACAAGCGATGCTTTTTCCTGCTCCTGAGAAAATAAACACTGGGAATCAATTAGCTCTCAATATAAGTGAAAATAACGTGACTTATCAGGCACCAAAATTGTTTTAGCGATGCCAATAGCAATGAATTCATTATGACTGAAAATAATACTAATAAAGATCCATTTCCAGAGGTCTGGAGGAGTGGAAAGGGCCATAATCACAGCGGTGCTCTCCACTCTTTTGTTTTCCGATGGGTGGAAAGCAGAGCTGCTTGCTCCTTATGACTGCTAAGGTGAGGCAGAAAAGGAGGCCAGGAGGATGGACCCCAACACCACCCCGTGCCAGCGTGGTGCCGAGTTACCAGGGGTGGGACCTGGGCTGCCCAGTCCCTCTGTACTCCCCATTCTGCTCAGACCTGGACCCAATCCGAAGGGGAGCACAGGAAAGAGCTCCTGCCTGGTGCGTGAGGAAACCTTTTTTGGAAGGTATTTTCAGAAGCCTCTTCCAGCAGCCTCTACATGCAGGTGCTGTGCTTAATTATAGCCTCCATCAGCTGGAAAATATACTACTTTGTAGCTAATTCTCCCTCCCTGCTGCACCACTGGTAATCATCTCAACCAGTACTGCTCTGTTACATCTCAGAAGCATCATTCCCTTTACGCACACCTCTTTCCAGACTACTCAAGCAAGCAGAGGGATAAGCGTATTATATGTTGGGAGGGGGTAGGAGTTGGTTTACATCTCTTCTCTTGCCATGAGACTACCAATATGGAGCACGGAGGAGGAGGATTTAACTATGCTAATAATTTAATATCTTAAGGCTAAAATGTCACAAACAAAGAGGACACCAATCAAAACTGGTGAAAGGATGGCGTTTTACTGGTCACAGGACAGTCATTTGCAGGACTTTCAGAGAACTTGATCCCAGCCAGCTATTCCAGACATTTTACCCCACAACGATCCATTGCTGTGAGCTAATCTGCTATGTTAATTTAATGCAGGAGAACGTGAATAGATCACACTTCACAGTTGCTGAAAAACAAGTGTTTACTGGTCACTGTTTGCAGGGTGGGTGACCTTTTAGGCACAGTTATACCCCTTCTCCTCATCTAGACCAGCTCGGCAGTTTTCCTGCAGATGACTCAGTGTGCAGTCGTGTGACTGTCTCCAGGAGTGTGGTTGTAACCAAGTAGGTGATGACACCATGGGTTTCTCTGCCTCTGCCTGCGGAAGAGCTATCTGTGCTGTTCTCAGACCCCTGTGAGGCACAACCCGACACCTCTCACAGGGTGGCTTATCTAACCTGACTGGAGCAAGTCAGAGTCCTGCTCTTACTCCTTGGTGGAGGAGCTACTTCTCCCTCCTACTGCACTGAATCCAGCCTCACTGGCTAACCTGCCTACCACGTTGCAGAGTAAAATGATGTTGCCTTCATATCTACCTACCAGAAGTAGCATAATATGTGCACCATCACTCTTCTGCTAGTTCCTCTGAGGATACAAAGCAGGCAATGGCCAGCACTGAAGCCATTAGAAACTGCCCTCTGCACAGAGCTACATTGATATTTTGGAAGTATTAACTCTCTTGACTGAGCTGAGCCACAGCTTTCATCCAGATACATGTACATGCCTGATATCGTTTGAAATTCCTTTTTTCCATGTTTTTTTCCACCTCCACCAAAGCCCATTTCCCAGATTCATGGCTTTCTCTCCTTGGGTTTTCTCTGTGGTGCAGTTCCCTGCTAATCACACACTGAAGAGATCAGGTGTGCTTTGAAGTTCGTGGAAAGACAGACTTCTCACCCTTTTTGAAGCAGCAATTACCAGTAGAGACACTAATTTTTGTGCTGCTACCTCCAAGAGAGCAGAGATAAACTGAAGGAAAGCGGTAATGTTACATGATGTAAAGGGCAGGGTTGTTAGCCATAATTAAAGCACAAGCAAATACGTAACAATATACCTAACAGTCTGACTTTGGTGTATTAGCCAAGTAAAAAAAATGAATCCTGAAGACAAAGCTCTCCCATTTTCCTCCAAATCAGGGGTCAAAATTCTGCTGTTTCAACTAAATGCAATGCCACTGAAGCTGGAACATTTGTCACTTGGATCTAATTTAACCTTGACTAGCTGCTCTGACCCCCAGCCTCCCCAGACACATAAAGATGAAATCTCACCTCAAAGACTGTCCCCAAGCAAGTACTGGGGTCTGGAAAGCTACACTTCTTCCCCGAGCTCTGTAAGATAACTCTGAGCAGTTACTTGGAAAATGAAGCCTGAAAGCCAGACTTGTCCATCCCAGGTGCTGTACCTGTTCCAGGCACATGCTGCAACTCCAGTTGCCAAACGTGGTGTCTGAAGGGATTTCCCTTGGCTCTGGGTGAACCAAAAATAGGGGGGATGCCAACTTGCCCTCCAGGCACTGCCAGATTACACCTTCCCAGCACAATATGAGGCTGTGAGGCACCTACCACCCATAAAGAAGATGCCATAATAAAAACTTGTCACCCCAAATAAGCCCAGCACTGAGAGATGAACAGATCTTCTCAGAGACCACATGGGTGCAAAGGAGCATCAGGAAAACATTCTCCCTTCTGTTACAGCTCTTGTTTCTCCTTAGTGTAGTTTCTGCCTAAAAAGGCTTTTGCCATGCCACATCACTGCACCTAAATATGTTGTTTTAAATGCGAACAGGGAAAAGCAGAAGAGAGTGAAATACCCACTTGGATGGTGTCATGGTTTAACCCCAACCAGCAACTAAGCCCCACACAGCTTCACTCACTCTCCTCACAACTGGATGGAGGAGAGAATCAGAATGGTAACAGTGAGAAAACTCGTGGGTTGAGATAAAAACAGTTTAATACATAAAGCAAAAGCTGCACGCAAGCAAAGCAAACCAAACAATTCATTCCCCACTTCCCATCAGCAGGCAGGTGCTCAGCCATCTCCAGGAAAGCCGGGCTCCATCATACACAATGGTTACTTGGGAAGACAAACACCATCACTCTGAACATCCCCCCTTCCTTCTTCCCCCAGCTTCATATGCTGAGCATGACACCACATGGTCTGGGAGATCTCTGGGGTCAGCTGGGATCAGCTGTCCTGGCCATGTCCCCTCCCAACTTCTTGTGCACCCCCAGCTGCTTGCTGGTGGGGTGGGCTGAGAGGCAGAAAAGGCCTTGACACTGTGCAAGCACTGCTCAGCAATAACGAAACCATCCCTGTGTTATCAACACATTTTCGAGCACAAATTCGAAACATAGTCCTATACTAGCTACTAGGAAGAAAATTAACTCTATCCCAGCTGAAACCAGCACAGATGGATATTTTCAGAGATTCAGAAATTGCCAAGCCGGAGGGGACTGCTGTGACTAACCCTCCTGACAGAGCACCTTGGCTGGCTACAGCATTGTCCCACATTAATTCCTGCCATGAGTCCAATTGCTGTGGGAATGAGAGCATAGATTTCAGTGAGAAAAATCTGGTTACGTTTGGGAAAATTTCCTGTAATAATGACTTGTCCATAACTCTTCTGCAAATTGTTCCCAGAGTTCATTTTTCTCACTCCAGAAAAAGCACTGCTTTTCTTTCCCAGTTTGAACTAGCTTCAGTTTCCACTGCATCCTACTATACTTGGTCTGCTACACTGCAGCACCCACCGTTACCAAATTGCCCTTCATCATGAAGGTAGGTGAAGATGGTCTTGCCACTGTAGTCCAGCCAGAATTAATCGTACCCAGGCAAATCGCTCATTTTCAGTTCTTAGAAACATATCTTTCCTCTTTCCCCATCAGGAAAAGGTCAAACACAGATTACTCCTGTGCCAAATGCAACACTTTTTGAGTTAGGAGATTGTCATCTATAATTACGA